AATCTTTCAATACCTCAGGTCAATAAGACTAGGGTGAGGCATGGGTTACACCAGAGCAAAGATTAATGTGAGCAGGCCACTCTGCCATTCTTTTTGTCTGGAAGGAGATGCATTGCCTTTTTTTTCCTTCTTTTCTTCTTTTTTTTTTTTTAAAATAAGCAGGCTAGCCCTGTCCTCTGGATTCCCCAGAATGAAAGCTTCAGGAATGCAGAAACTATACATGCTTTGCATCTACCACAGAGCCCACCACACAGTAGGGGCTGAATCGATTTGTCGACAGCATGAATGTACACCATGTCTGTCATGTGACAGGTCAACTGCAGCAGTGACATCTCAAGGGAAAACCATGGGAACAGTGACCTCACTGACTTGGGAGACCTTTCGTCCAGGGCAATCCAAAAGCTTTGTGGCAAGCTTCTGGGTTAGGTCTGCATCCCAGATCAGGCAGAAGGGCACCTGGACCAAGCAGAATACGGGTCAGCGGAGGACCATCCGGGAGAGCAGCCACCCTGGGAGTCACAGCGCGCATGCGGAGAGCACAGAGGGAGCCTGTGGGCTGTCAGCGACCTTGTAGGTCCCAAACACCATGTCAGCAGCGGAGTGTCTACAGTCCTCTTTAAAGAAAGGTTATTTGAGAACTTGAGAAGGAAAACCTAAAGATGTCCTCCAGAGTATTTCTAGGGCCCTCAGGGGTGCTAAAGTGGAAAGAAATGTAATAACAATCCAGAAAGAAACCTGGGTCCTTCTTACATCTGTCCCTGGCTGAGGGTCACACGGGCAAACGTCATAATGGAGACAGCTAACAGAGACGAGCGCTTCACTCACCATGTTATTTACTACACCACATACCCTGTGCCCCGCAGCCCAAGAGAAAGACTGGCTCTCATCTCCACAGACTGGAGTGATCCAGGCTGATTTCTGCTCCTTGTCTTCCTTTGAGTCCTAGAAATACACTTTTCCAAAGGAGGAAAATTTTCAACAGAAAAGTTTTTGAAGGTGGGCAGAAAGATGGGTTGGAAACTATTATCTGACAAATTATTATAAGAACAAAGAGAAACATAAGGAGAACCAACAGAAAATGTCCAAACAAAAATGAAGGTAACAGTCCTGGCCGGTTTGGCTCAGCAGTTAGAGCATCAGCCCGTGGATCAGAGTCCTGGGTTCAGTTCCTGCTAAGGGCATGTACCTCGGTTGCAGTTTGTCCCTGGCCCCAGTTGGGGTCGTGTGGGTGGCAACCAGTCGATGTGTCTCTCTCACATTGATGTTTCTCTCCCCCCCCCATCCCTCCCGCAAAAAAAAAAAAAAAAATACACACACACACACACACACACACACATATATATGAAGGTAACGTAAATAAGAGAGGGTAGAAACCTAACAGAGCAAATTAAAGATTTTAAACTTTTTGCTATAACTTTCTCATTATTCCCTACTAATCAGAGCCTGATTTAGATAGCTCAGAAACATAAGTGAACTAGAAGGTATAGGTTAATACAGGTCAAACGTCTAAATAACGATTCCCACAAACAGAAAAGCTGCACTTAGAGCAGGAGGAGGGCTGATCCTTCTTAGCAAGAGATGATTTTGTGATAAGAACTGCCCACTGGAATGAGTATCCATATGTCACCAGGAATGACACAGATGTTTTATATTCATTCTCACCACCTTTGATGTGGAGTATTATCATGTGCTGAACACGTGACAAGACCAGGAGGTTAAGTGACTTGCTCAAGGTCACAAAGGAAAGAAGAGGCAAAGCTGGAATTCTAACTTAATCTCCAACTCTGAAGTTTGAGTTTTCCCCACAGTACAGCCTGTAAGATATATTTGTTCAGTGACAGAAGAGTGACAATATTAGATTTCTCTTCAGGGAACAATTTTCCAAGACTATATTTTCCATTTAGCTGTGCCTGAATTATTGATTTGTTTATAATTGCCATCCCTTACCATAAAGCTCTATGTTCAATTTGGGGAATAAGAAGCCTATTGGAATGATAGTTTTCTTCATGACAACTATATCATATAAAAATTAAAATAAACATAACTTCATAACGGTTTGGCCAGGTGTTGCTAAGTATTATAATATCACATTCAACATCTGTGAGAATCTTGACAAAAATTACAAATGAGATACCAGGCAAGCTGCTGTTTCTAAATTAATATGTCCTGTAAAAAAAATTCAACACTCTGTGTGTACTGTAGTGAAAGTGTGTATGAGCATGCACCCTGGAGCAAGGCGGTGAGGGGGTCGTTGGCTGGAACATGCGTAAAGCCACAGGAAGCAGAATTAGGGAGCAGTCTCCTGAAGGTGAAATTCTCCCAGTATCAGGTAACATCAAATTTTACAATTTCTAAGTAGCCTCAATAAAGTCCTACAGAATGTATCTCTATTTATCCAGTTAAAGAAGGATAGAGGCATGTGTTTTTCCTTCTTAAAACTTTTAATTAACACAGGGTAAGGGATCACAGACAGCCTCCCCTAGCAGAGAGGGTACCTCAATAACATGCTGTTTCTCTGGATACAATGCATAATCCTTTTTGCTGTCTTTTTGACAAATATTATTCATGTGTTATTGGCATAGTACCAGGGAAAAAAAGATGAGCTGAGCGAGCTTGGAGTAATTTGTTTAAATTTTATAATCAAATAGCAATTATATTACAATATCATAAACTATTGACCTTTTCCCCTCCTCCTCCACTGTGCCCCAACATTCTGAACAACAGAACTGACAAAATGCACAGAGACTTCCACCACAAACCCTCTGAATGCGACAGCCTCAGGAAAGAAGGAAGAGTGACCAGGTGGGACAGACAGTATGAAGGTCAGAAGGACTGAGGTCTGAGAAAAATCACGATAGATTTCTTGTCACCGTGGCGGGGAGCGTCCCCAGAATGTTCATTTCTGGTTCCTCTCACCTGGACTGGATCAGTTGTTCTCGACTCTGGCTGACATAATGTCAGCTGGGCAGGTTTTATAAAGCCATTGCGTGGGCCCTCCCTCCTAGGTATTCTGATTCCCGAGTATAGCCCAGGCATAAGTATGCTTTCAAAACTCCCCAAGTGATTCTAATGTGCACTGACCTGAATAATATAAAGTATGTTGGCAAGGGTTTAACCCAGTTTTCGCCTCACCAGAGGAAAAGAAATCTGAAAAATCTTCAAACACCAGAACATGAAACTGTCCCTAAAATCAACAATAACAATAAACAATAGAAACAATGACAAAACAAAAATCCTCTTCCAAGAACTGCCAAATGAAAGGAGATGAAAGAGTTTTGTGTGAATCTTTTCCCTGCCCCCCTCCTGTGGTATAGCAACATTTATTAGCAGAATATACTGCACTAGCCATTCAGCTGGGTGGCCAGTACCTACAGGAACATGAAGTGAAACATGAATCCCCCATTTTACAAATGAGGAAGCCAGGCCTCAGCAACGTAAAGGCCAAAGTACAAAGACAGAGTCTGGTCCTGGATCTGTCTCAAAGGCAAAGCTTCTTCTCTTCTCCGTATCTTCTGGAAGATTTCTTTGCACTGGCTAACTTAACAGACACTAGAACAGAGTGTAATTTCAGGAACATTTTCCACTGTGGGACCTTGAAGGTTTTATTCTAAGGAATGTAATCCATTGCTCTCCTCGCTATTAGCAATCTGATATTGGCAGTGAATAGGTAAAGGGGGAAAAATATAAAATAAAGTTGGAGTGGATAGAGGGCTAATGGTAAAAGACCTTGAATGTTAAGTAAAGAGTCTGGAATGAATGACTGTACTTATTAATTAACAAATCTACAAGTATTGAGTTATGCCCTGTGTTGGGAAGAGAAAACCCTTTAGGGCCTACACAATAGGGAGATATTAGAGGTTTCAGAGTTATTAATATCTAAGTGGTATTCCAATATGCCAAACCAGAAAACTAACTATGAGGAAAGAAAAACACTCCTTTTGCATGGTATAATTAAGAAAAAAAAAGTCTGAAATATTATGGACAAATCTGCATAAGACACATTTACCATTCTCAAAAATAAACTCTGAAAAGAAATTAAGGTTATTTTTAAGTCAAATCTTTTTTGTCATTTTTAAATTATGGCTTTAGTAGAGTTCTTCCAAAGAATAGATTTAGTAGCTGATAAAATACAACCCTCTTACTGAGGGCAGCTGGTCAGCATGACATTCTAGGATTGGAGTAATTTATTAGCATATGTCACAGTTAACAATAAAACCTTAACAGATTATTAGTTTCCCTCAGGGTAGAAAGCATATTCTCAAATATAATGAACAAATATCAGACGAGAGAAAAAGAAACCATTTCAGTCTCCATAAATTTCTGGCTAAAACTATATTATATTAAATATACCAATTAATAAGAAAAAATAAATCCAAATAAAAAGGAAAGACTATGTTATTTTTCTTTATTTCTCTAACAGGGTGATTTCATGCCTTTCATGTGTTATAAAACAACATGGTTTTTTTCCTCCACTTTAAAGGGATAGTGAAAATTAAGATAATTTACAATGCTGCATACAAATTTATACCCTTTCCTTTACTCTCTTTCTATCTAAACACGGACGTTTACAATGCTTTCAAAAATTCAAAGCATTAAGAAGTTTAGCACTTGTAATATCAGCAGGAATGCATTTGACATGACATTAAATTAAGCAAATAAACTTAATGTAATAATTTTAGTTGCATTTACTATATCAAATATTTAATTATCCTGATATTTATTTTCATTGCATCAATCTTTCAGCGATACTTTTTAATCCTATGTGTATGCACACATATGTGTGATTGCATGTGGCAGTAAACTGATAATACATGATCATTTTACTCTGGTTTAGTCTCATGATTTCTTGATTTTTCTTTTGTTTTGTTATGATCAGAGTTAGCCCAAATAAAGATAAAAAGTCTCTATGAGTTATTGCTCTCAATTTCTTTTTAAAACCTTTCAAAGATTTTGTAACTTTTTATTCTTAAAAAGGATTAGAATAATGGCTCATTACATACCATAATCTGTGATTTTACAGGACACCAAATACAGCTCTTTCAGGTTTTGTCCTTCCTTTGCAATGACCTCCACACACCTGAAACACACAAAAAAAGCGGTGAGTTAGACTAATGCGTTTCAAGTTAAATGAGAAGAGTTTGGCTAGGACTAGAACAGGAAGAGGTCAGTGTTTGATGAATGCCATAGCTCTTTTCTTTCAACAAACTTCTTTCAAGGTGTTTCAGGGAAAGGTATTATATTCCCTGCTTTAAACTCAAATGCTCTAATACCTAAATGACTTTAATTAAATACATTTATGACTAGTGTGTATTTTAAAACCAAAGAGATGAAAAAAGAGATATTCCTATATGAATAATGTTACATTTGGTAATAAAAGACCAGAAAACATATGCTATATAATAAACATGTCATTTATATAATAAAACAATATAAAAATGATTATAATTAAACTGTAGACAATAGACGAAGGGCCATTACAAGTAGATGGTAATATTACGTATGGTTTCATTATTAATATGGGGTTTGATAACACTGAAACACGCATTGTTTTGTGAAATTTTATTTGACATAAAATAAAAATATGTTTTAAAAATCTATATTATTGACTATAGAAAGAAAAATCTGGACACATAAGAACTTTAAAACATTTTCATTTAAATGATTTATACTTAATATTCTAAATGAATTATTGCATAGGTACAGGCTATTTAAATAATACTGATATAGATAGGTAAGATTTACAGTCTTTTCTGATTTAAGTTAAAAGGCTTTTGAGTGGTGCACTCTGCTCTGATGGCCTTAGTGAAACGTGGTACAGAACTGAATGAACTTTACAGATAATGATGAACACCACCACCCACTCTGTGGCTCAGCTCCCTGTAACATCAGCAAGACCTGTGCAGTCACAGTGACACATAGGCACAGGCATCCTTCAGTGCGGTCCGTTTTAATCTTTATAAATAACAGTTAAGTAAAAGGGTAAAAGCAAAAAGAGTCATTAACCTTTTCTAGGAAGGAAGGATCAAGTAATTTGATGCCTATGTGTATAATCCATCAAAAAATTACTGAGTAGCCATCTCTGTCTTTCAGATATTTTATTTTCTGTCTGGCTTATTTGTAGGTATCTTCATAAAATGTCAGGGAATTTTATACAATTTTACTTCCCATAATTCATTAGTGAAGGTTAAATTAGTTAAAGAAAAGGCACATTTTTCTTTAAAATATATTTTTATAAAATATTGTTTTAATGGTATGATGAACCTTCCGCATTCTCTAGAATAATTGAATAAACATTCTTTTTTGGCTATTTAAAATAAATATGATAGAAATTGGTAAAAACTCCTATGGCTATAAAAAGAAACTTAAAAACATTTACAGAATGTAATGATGATGGATACAGTTTATTGTGAAGAAAACTGTAAAAACCTAATTCCATGTCATTAGGCTTTAATGTAACATTTGAATAAACTCAGAAAAGGAAGGATAAAAGCAAAAATGAAAGATTACAGGCAACAACCCTGTTTTATACACAACATTAAAAATGAATTTTCACATGCTAAGGATAAAAATGAAGGCCCTCGATGATTACAAAATCTTCAGGAGTTAAAACAAAAGTCTGACTACTTTCTATTATACCAAAGATACATATCTCACTGTCCTTCATCATCAAAAGAAAATTGTTAGCAGAACCAATATTTTGTATGACCGCCACAAAATGAAATAAATCGGTGCAGAAATAATTTTCATATCATTTATTTTGTTCCCATGCTCTTTTCAAATACTTCAAAATGTCTGATTTTATATTTTCTTATGAAAAAACTCTAAACAAATGCAATATCCTATTTCTGCTCCTGCCACTTGATTCTATATTAGATATGCTACAAGCACATATGAACATTAAAGACACACAGAGCAGACTACAAGCAGCAAATAAGACAAATTGATTTTACTGCATAAACCAGATCAAATGCTATTTTATAGGCAACAGGAACCAGTATTCATATAAAACAAGATAATCAATCACTGGATGGAAACTGTCCTAAGACTGATGAAAGACCATGAGCATCAGGTTTCCTCCCTACACAACAGAGAAAAGTTATTAAGAATAGATACTGCAGATATATTAAGCTTACGCAGGAGGCAGTAACTGAGAGATAACATGATTAGAAGTAAGCCGTAAGTACCTTCAAAAAAATAACAACAAAAAGAAGAAGAAAAATGGAAGATTCTTTGCTTTTAAAAAGGATCACCTAGAATTTTTGCTGTTTTTGAAAGTTCAGTTACGTAATTTTCCAAATACTTTCAATTACAGTCTGCTAGAAGTTACGTACAACACAGAACTCTTCCAATAAGAATTCGTAAAGAAAAATCTATTTATTGGAAGATTTGTAGCCAAATTTAATGTTTTAAATTGAAATATCACATCATTTACTGATGAGACATTCATGAATATGATATCTGAGGAGAGAAATCTCAAGTTCTGTGAATCTGCACTGAAACTCTTAATATAATATTAAAACACAAAATTGAGTGGTTCAAATGAATATTTGAAATAGCTATTGTTTTGAGAGTTGGGAACTGAACTGGTCTGTATTATCCGGTCACTACAAGTTGGTGGGAAAGGGACCCCACACCAGGTCTCTGGCTAGAGCCCGAAGCTTTGTGATCAGTCTGTCTAGAGTCCAGGCAACCTGAGCAGAGAGCAGGTCATGATAACAGAGCATGGGGGGAGGGTGCCTGTCCTTTTCTCCTGAAACTTTCAGAGACCATTCTAAAATATACTTACAGAAGTATCCTAACATAACACAAGTCTGTGGACCCCATGTACTCTCAATAATTGTACTCTGTTTTAAAGGAGTCTTGGCTCTAGTCATGCCCTTCAGCGTGCTGACATCAGAGTATTTCCCAGTCCACTGTACATGTCATATGCGGGCAACAAACAAGGTGGTAAAGCTCAGTAATTATTTAAACTAAAGCCATCATTTAAACATAAAATTAAACTACAGGTGTTCATGTAAGTTGTTAAAGGGGTATTTAAAAATGGTGGCAGTAAGAGAGAGGAACGTTTGAGTGATACTCTGAAAGTAAGGAGGAGAGTGACAGAACCAAAGGCCACATTTAAAACCTCTGCATCTCGCCCTGGCCGGTTTGGCTCAGCGGTTGGAGCGTCGGCCTGCAGTACAGAGAGACCAGGGTTTGGTTCCCGCTAGGGGCATGTACCTCGGTTGCAGTTTGTCCCCGGCCCTGGTTGGTTGTGCGGGTGGCAACCACTCGATGTGTCCCTTTCACGTCGATGTTTATGTCTCTCTCTCTCTTCCTCTCTCTCTCTCCCACTCTATCTGAACAAAAAATAGAAAAATGTCCTCAGGTGAGGATTAAAAAAAACCTCTGCGTCTCCATCCCCTCGCCTATTCACTGACACCACACAGGGGAACATTCATTCACCTCCACGATAAACTATAATTTGTCCCTGGGGGGCAGGCAGTGAGTCCCTAAACTCAGAATCCAGAATTCAAATATTTCCCATTCTTCCTCCCAGCCCCTCCCCACCATCCTGAACAACAAACCTCAGAACACCACTGACCGACAGTCTCTATGGGCCAGAGCATTTAAAGTTTTCCCTTTTCATGCATGACAACCTAAAGAATTATAAAATGTGGGAAAAGAATTATATCCTCGGGGAGAGTAACAATCCATAAGGTTATTTAAGAGAAACTCATAATATAGAAAAATGGCACAGGGGACAAATGCAGAAGAGAATCAAATGCCGTGGAAGCGGCCTGTGAACATCAGAAACAAGCCCACCAAGCCATCACCCCGCATTCTGAGAAATAAAGGCAGCCGTCCTGAGGAGAGGAGATAAAGAACCAGCAGACATGCACTGTAGTCTCAGGGAACCACAGAGCCACCACCCACCCCTTTGGGGCCCCACGTCCGCATTCTCTATAAAACCAGGGCCTGCATGAACAATTTCTCCAGATCAAATGTCCTAGGTGCATTTAAATATATTTTAGTTTATTCTGAACCATTTTCTTGCTTTTATGTTTTGGCAAGGTTGTGAAGAAAATTAAAAGAAAAAAATTACAGCCATTGTAAATCCTTGAGTAACAGCTGTTGAGTACATATATCCAAATGCCTTTCGAATACTAGAAAGGGCTAGAAAGTCTGTTCCAAAGTATCCAAAGCCTCCAGAATAATTTTTTTTTATAATCAGGTAATTTTATGCTCACTTGCTTTTGAAAATGTTCTAAAATGTACCTGAAACATTTGATGAAATTTGAAAAGCAACAAAATATTTCTTTTGTGAACCATATAGGATGTTTTGTTTTGTTTTTTTAAAGAGGAGAAGGTATTTGTTAGTTTAAGTGGAGGGGAAATCTGTCTCCTTCGCAATAGATTCCTAATCACATGATTTATGTGAAGGGTAAAGGTTAATGAATTAAGTTGTGTAAGCGTCAAAACTATCAAAGGAATTCAAAAGAGCTTTGAATTATGAAAAACAATGGCCCATTCTACATACATACCAAATTTTATGTTTTTTGTCTCCTACTCAAAAGCAGAAACATGGCATTAGTGACAATTGAAAAGAACTAATGAGGAAATATGACTACATTGCTTGCAAGAGGAGTGTCCTAGGAGACCTTGTTACTGTTTGCGATGTGCTTCAAACCCAAAAGAAGCTAATTGGAGCTCCCAGACACTGGTTTGCAAATCTCACTTTAAAGGACAGGCTCAATCACCTTAGAGGTGTGAAAAGAAATGTCCCCATTAGAGGTGCATTAGTATGTGGCTTGGTGAATTTCTAAATAAACTTTAAGATATTCTTCCCCAAGTCACTTTTATATTTGAATAACTGATCTATCTTCAAGCAAAGGAAAAAATGCGACAAGACAAAACAATCCCACCGATTTAAAACAAAAAATATAAAGAGTGCTGTAAAGTAATTGGCAAATAAGTACAGCAGGGAGCTAGGTGTGTTTAAGGTTGAATAAACACGTTGATCAAACCCAAAACTCCTGAAACACAAACACATTGTAGAAGTGATCTGTCTGAGGGTTTTAGAACTAGAATTTCATT